AGGAATCCTTCTGGATTTCACTTTGAGTTTTCATCTGCATGAATTATAGCTCTTGAATATCAGGAATTGTTGAGTTCAGGGACTCCCATGCAAAGCGTGGGACACCACAGCCACCACACAGGTCAGTAGGGAAATGGAATGGGAGCATCAAGTCCTCTGGAAACCGGGCTGGGGCTCCTGCACTTACAGCACACCCGGTCTGAGGCTGCACTTACAAAGCCTACGCCGTGTAACTTCATCACACTTCAAACTTCCCTAGGGACATTTCACAAAGTCTCCTTGCAAAGGTGGTGGGAAGGATTTGAAAAATCAAGTCTTGTGCTGGGGACACTACTTACCACAGCTTATAGAATCATAGAAAACTTTGGGTTAGAAGGGATCTTTAAAAGGTCATCTAGTCCAACCCCCTGCAATGAGCAGGGACATCTTCCACTGGAAGTCCTCGCTTCTAACTGAAGTCCTCAATTTATTGACACAACAAGGTTATAGTGCAAGAAGTAAATTTATTCCATATTATCTACCGGCACTATAGCTCAAAGGATGCATTTTGAGGCAGGAGAAAGAATTTTGTTCTCCAAATCCCTGCAGCTGAACCTGCTGCAGCCGCCCTCACACAAACCAGTGGTGACACATCTTTTCAATGTCTGAGGCCAAAAGTATTTTTAAAAGCATTGCAGGTAATTGTCACTGTTGTCATTCCAAACTGCTGCTGTTTTCACTATTTTACCATCACTGATGTAACCCAACAAATGTCAACAGCAAACATGGGCTGCTTCTGCAATTAGGGAATTAACGGAAATAACACATTTCACAACAAACAGCTCACACGTATCAATGGCCATGACCAGATCCTTAACTACAATCTATGGGAGATGTTCTATGTTGCTTGCAGCCCAGAAAGCCAATTGTATCTTGGGCTGCATCCAAAGGAGCATGGCTGGCAGATCAAGGGAGGTGATTCTGCCCCTCTGCTCTGGTGAGAGCTCACCTGGGGTCCTGCATCCAGCTCTGGAGTCCTCTGTACAGGAAGGACATGGACCTGTTGGAGAGAGTCCCGAGGAGGCCACAAAAAGGATCAGAGGGATGGACACCTCTGCTATGAGAAAAGGGTGAGAGAGCTGAGGTTGTTCATCCTGGAGAAGATTCTGGAGAGATCTTATTGCAGCCTTTCAGTACTTTAAAGGGGACTATAAGAAAGATGGGGAGAGACTTTTTAGCAGGGCCTGTTGCAGCAGAACAAGGGGTGATGGCTTTAAACTAAAAGAGGGAGATTCAGCCTGGATGTGAGGAAGAAATTTCTTACAATGAGGGTGGTAAAACACTGGCACAGGTTGCCCAGAGAGGTTGTGGATGCACCATCTCTAGAGACATTCAAGGCCAGGCTGGATGTGATTCTGGGCAACCTGATCTAGCTGAAGATGTCCCTGCTCATTGCAGAGGAGTTGGACTAGGTGATCCTTGAAGGTCCCTTCCAACCCAAACTATTCCATGATTCTGATTCTAAGGTTTGTTACATACTACTCAAACATCCGGGTACCTTCTAAAGTAATTGTTCTGCAGGGTGCAGGTTTTATCATCTTTTTCACTGGGGTGGATTGGCCACAAGAGTCTTTAAAACAGTGGTACAAAAAAACTTGCTGAAACTTGTACTCCTGAAGAATTTCAGAAAGATCAAATTAGGCCCCAAATTCTGATCTTGGTTTCAGTGGGGTCCCTTTCTTAGCAGGGGTCCTTTTACCAGAGTCCCTCCTTTAAAAGCCAAAGGAAATTAAAAATGAAAAACAGCACTGGGGAAAAGTTAAGTGTGTGCTTCAAACTCACACATGCCAGGAAATTTAGAGTTAAAGGTGAAACTCCACCCAGAAGAACTCCATAATGGAGATATTTCAGCGAACAAACCTAATGTGTTCTGAAATACAGAGACCCAGTAGGGTGCACTAGGTATGGAGTTTCAGCCTTCACTCCAAATTTCCTGGCTATTTGGAGGCTTATTAGAGTTTCATACCCCAAGCATTTAAGTACTCCAAGAAGTTTCCTCAGCGCAGCTCACGCTGATCCTTTTGGAAGCTGAGAACAAGCACTCCGATGGTGTAGCTACCCATCCATTATTAATGAACCTGAAAACACTTTCTTGCAAATTTATGGTAATTTGCAGTGCTGAAATGATGTGCTAACTGGGTAGTTTCAGTTGAGTTACCCAGAGAAACTCCAAAATTGCAAATCTACTCCAAACAAAACTGAAGGACAGGATTTCATTGACCCAGGCAGAGCTTGAGCTCCTAATCTTCCTCCACACTATATGTGTCAAGTAACTCTGCTTCAGCCCAGGCTGCAGTCAAGGAAACTCAGGACTGCTTTTGACAGTAGTGGTCTGTATTCCTGGTCTAAACACTTTACTGGGCTGTGGAATAGGGATATATTCATCTTACTCCTCAATGGATCTGGCTCTAACAAATTAAAAACTACTATCAGCATCAAGCTTTTCCATTACAAAGCTTTTGTGAATATGCTACAAATGTTAAAGTGGTTCCAGAGTATCTCAGTAACCCTAAAAGATCTGTTGTGAGGCTCCACATCATTGCATTTCATGATAGCTCTAAGGAAATTATAACCAGCAACTCTCTGTAGCCCCTCTAATCACCCACACCCTTCATCCTTTTCCAACAGGCACAGAGAGAAAGTTTTATGACTATCTGATGATGGGTGTCTTGACATAGACTATCTGATGATTTCAGTGGGTGTCCTGACAAATAGCTAACTGAGAAGATATCACACATACTTTGAAATTGGCCTCATCAATCACTCTGCACAAGTGTATCTTAGTGGTGGACAGCTGCAAAAGTAATGGGACAGCTCCACACTCTCATGATGCTGAGGTGTCTGAGGAACAACAAATGATTCTCGCTGCAATTAAAAGAAGATAAATTGAGCTATGCACTTCTTGGGCTTCCCCTCACCCTGACCAGGAGGCAAACCAGGACTTGAAACACCGGGAAATGGTTCCAAAGAGGTTCAAATATGTGGTCAATAGACACAAATTGCGCTTTACTGTTGCTTACAGATCTACCTCTGCATCCTTTCTCCTTCCATCTTTTCCATCACCTTTCCATTTAATCTCCTCTCCTCACTCTGTTCCAGCCATTACATTTAAACATACATACATACATACACCAATACCTGACATACATTCTTCACACTGAAATCCCCCAACAGACCAACAAACTAAAAAAAGAAAGACTGCAAAAAATCACAAGCAATGATTTCTTGTGAGAAATCAATTTTTCACCAAATCAACTGATTGATTTGGGGAAAAAAGTTTTCAAGTTCATAAACCCTTCTTTATATTATTCTTATATTTTTCCCTGACACTACTAATTGGCTTAAGATATCCTCCCTGCTGCTGAAACCTGCCTTACTTGTAAGCTTCAGCTCTTCCAGCTATATCAAGAACATCATCACCCTGAAAATCATAGCACTGGCACACTAACACCTTTGTTGGCAACACGGATGGTGGGACAGAGCATCCTCAGCAAGTTTGCCAATGACACTAAGCTGTGTGGTATGGTTGACACCCGGGAGCAAAGGGATGGGATCCAGAGGGATCTGGACAGGCTGAAGAGGTGGGTCAGTGCAAACCTCACAGAGTTCAAGAAGGCCAAGTGCAAGGTCCTACGCCTCGATTGGGGCAATCCCAAACACAGCTACAGGCTGGGCAGAGACAGGATGGAGCAGCCTGAGGAGAAGAACATGGGGGTGCTGGGTGAGAAGAAGCTCCCCATGACCCAGCTTCAGTCTCCACTTGAGCCCAGAACCTCCGTGTGCTGGGTGCACCCCCAGAGCGTGAGCAGCAGCTCAGGGAGGGGATCCTGCCCCTCTGCTGCGCTCTGGGGAGACCCCCCCTGCAGCCCTGATCCATCTCTGGGGAACAGCACAAGGGTGACGTGGAGCTGCTGGAGCGAGGCCAGAGGAGGCCCCGGAGCTGCTGCGAGGGCTGGAGCAGCTCTGCTCTGGAGCCAGGCTGAGAGAGCTGGGCTGGGGCAGCTGGAGAAGAGAAGGCTCCTGAAGGGGACACCTTAGAGCAGCTCCAGTGCCTAAAGGGGCTCCAGGAAACCTGGAGAGGGGCTTTGGACAAGGGATGTAGGGACAGGACAAGGGGAATGGCTTTAATCTGCCAGAGGGGAGATTGAGATGAGCTCTGAGGCAGAAGCTCTTCCCTGTGCGGGTGCTGAGGCGCTGGCACAGGGTGCCCAGAGAAGCTGTGGCTGCCCCATCCCTGGCAGTGCTCAAGGCCAGGTTGGACACAGGGGCTTGGAGCAACCTGCTCTAGTGGAAGGTGTCCCTGCCTGTGGCAGGGGTTGGAACTGGAGGAGCTTTAAGGTCCCTTCCAACACTAATCATTCTACACGTCTGTGACTATTATCTGCCGCTTCTGTTCAGAACTTGCATCTCTTTTCCCAGACTTTCCATCACATGTACTGAGTCTGCAGTCAAGTCCTCTGTGGTATAAAGGTATTTTTCTCCCCCAAAAATATAACCTACTTATAAAAACTGCTATTTTCTGAGTAATCGCACTTTCGGGTTGGCTTTCTCCCCCAGCATTAAGTTCACAGATACCGGGCAAAGGCAGAGCTGCTAGGCCAGCATTCATGCCTCTGCTCACATTGACATTTTCAGCTGTGACTATATAAAGAAAATTCACCTTATCATCCTCACCCCTTCTCCTGAACTCTGCAAACCCACTATGTGAAGGCACCAGTAATGCTGAGGGTTTGAAGTGTGGCTGCACAGAGCAAACTCCCCCAGGATGTAGCACAAGGCAGCACCATCTCTGCTGAAAGATTTCTGTACATTTCCACTGGCAGCAATAGGGAAGGGATCGTTAGGAAAAAACCCAACCAACTGAAGTACTGTTTGCCCACGTCCAGCAATCCACGTGAGAGGCAAAGTCAAACGCATCATGTTCATGGATGCTGTAAATGGAGGATGGTGGAGGTGGCTGCCCTGTATTTCCCTAAGGGGCAGCTATTGCTTGCAAGAACTGAACTTATATTCCCATCAGAAAAGAAGCCTAAAAAATAGAATGGGAATGGCAAAGGTAAGTGTTACACCTGGTTAAGATTGCCACAGAACTAGCCTGTGCTTTGCATCCTTCCCTATGTGAAAGGTCCAACCTCCTGAATTTACTTTAAAGAAGATCTCAGATGGTACAACCCGGTCCAGTGGAAGGTGTCCCTGTCTGTGGCAGAGGGTTGGAACTGGATGTGCCTTAAGGTCCCTTCCAACCCAAACCAGTCTGGGATTCTATGATGCTAATTAGAAATGCAAAGGGTACCTCACACCCACTGCTGAAGAGAGGTTGAACACAAATGGATACAGGGCAATTAATGCAAGGCCCCACAGCACATGGAAGATGCATGCTGGACACGATCAAACTGTGGGTCTGTATGTGAGACCTATATATATGTGTGTGTGTATATATATATATATACACACACACACACACATATATGTCTGAATTGATCAGCAAAGAGAATATACCCTGCTTCTTTTCAGACCATGGGAGGGGATGAGCTCTACCAGAGGCTGAGAAGGGGATGAGCACCACTGGGGCGGCTGGTCCTGGAGGATGTAGCGCTGCAGAGCTGTGAGGGACAAATTCAGACACTGGAGAATATAATAAGACTTTAATCTATTGTCTCCCACAAGGATTCTTAATGATCTCCGATAGTTTACTCAATAGATTTTATAGGCTGCCTTCATTCCAAGCATCCTGCAGTTTGACCAGACAGTGATCTTTTTACATAATGGATAATGTCCATGAAAGAAACCATGAGTCCTATGAGTCTTGGGGAAAAAATGTTCCTTGAAAAAAAACCAAACTGCTGGAAAACATGACTGTGGGTCAAGCTAAATGGAGCAAACTCCTACTGTTTCTAGTGTGTGCAATCCTGTACATAGAAATAGTTTCTTTAGTACCTAAGTCCTGTCTGTATCAGAATTCAATACCAGACTTATAAATGTCAGTTGCTAGCATGGGAACAGATGCAATTCCTCCCAGCTGATTAACATCCCTGACATCTGGAATAGAGGACAGAATAAACAGAGAGAACAGAGGATTTCCTGTTGGGACTTGGCTTTTGGGTGACAACTACCAAGAGACAGCAGCTCTGTTCTTGAGCGTGTTACTCTCCACCTTCTCAACAGCCCTGGGGCTGGTAATTAAAGAACTGGGCATTCAGTGCTGAATCCCTAGACAAAAAGTCAGGTATTTGCTATATGTCTGCCTGATACCTGTGTGAATGCAGGAATCCTTGATGTCAAGAGCTACACAATGGCCTCTTCGAGGCAGGGGATTAAGTTCTCAAGCTCCCTGAATTGCTTTGATGAATTTCTTCTGTTCTTTTTAGTGTTTAGGATTAGGTGGAAATTAGTCTTTTATTTGGAATCAAGGAGTATTTCTCAGAACTCTTCTAACTCCTAGGAAAGGGCAATAAGTGTGCCTCTCTCCTCCAGCGTAAGTTGGGCATATTTTGTAAAGAAGCCTCATGAAAAGAATTCCAGTGGAAAAGAAGGATAAAGAATAAGAGGCTGATCTGATCAGAAATCCCATGGGGGAACCCTGAAGTGCAGCCACAGCTCAGTTATCTACACAAGGTTGACCTAGGCTGTGGATTAGCCAGCCACCTCCTTCTAACACTACTGCTGTGGTCCACATTGCAGAGCGTGAATACATGTCCAAACATGTATTCAGAGTTTAATTTACATATACCTGCAATGTGCCAGTGCCCTTAGTCTTGAGTGAGCTGCTGTGACACAACACTAAGCTCTGCTGGACTGCACAATACAAGTGTTGGAAAAGGCCAGGGAGAAGGGCACTGGACACTCCAGCACCTTGGCTGGGGTCACCCTTGTATCTGCAGTCAGGTGCTGCAAAATAGACTCTGGAGCTTGTACAGCTCAACTCTGCCCCTTGTTTGGGCAGAACTCATGGGCTGCAGGAGCCTTCAGGGCACACATGGATGTTGAGAAAGCCTGTCCCCAGGGTCACTTCTCCTGAGTGGATTCCCAGCAAGTATGCGGTACGTTGTAGGAATCAAGGGAGTTTGAAGGCTCCAGTAGCTTCTACTGCTTCAGGAATTTCATCCGCATTTTCCCAAGAAGGCTTCAAGGGGAATGCTTTCTTATCTGCCCATGTGATCCTGTGGTGAAGCCTGATGTGCAAGCCCAATACTACATAAAAGGAGCGGCTCAGTTAACCATAGTATGGTGCAAGAACTTGCCACATCAAATAGTACTTACAGAGCATGATTTCCTATGATCTCTTGCTGTTTGTTTCAAGTTTTTCTGAAAAGGAGCCATGGTAGGTGTCATGAGCTCAAAATCTTCCCTATTTTGTAAGCAGCAATATCCCAAATAACACAGGGAATGTGTCTTTTTGGCAAGTGGTGTTTACCCTTGCTCCTTCCCTTTGTATTGGGCCAGGCTGTATGATCTTAGCATGTTCTGATTTCCCAGAATTGCAGAAATAAGGAAAAGCTGAACGATATTTGCAAATCTTGTGCTGGGACTAAATACATTTTGTCCCATTCTCGTGAAATTAATAAAAAGAAGTGAGACAGATATTCTTGGATAAAGCCTGCTGTGTTGGCTAATGCTAACCAGTCCTTTGTTTTTTCCCTGTAGGCTATTAAAAAAGAGGAGACATGATCTAGTTGGTACCACAATGTTTACTGCTGAGCAGCTCTGAGCGCAGAGTCCCCATCTACCAGCGTTGTCCCTCTGAACTGCCTTTCTGGCAAACTTCTTTATGCCATAGTATTTAAATGTCTATGCATCAACATCCCCACTACCTATGGCACAGGATCTTGGCTTTTTGGAGGAAAATATTTCTGGAGAGGTGCCAGAAGCTGGAAGCAAACAAATGAAAAACCCATTTCTGCTGCTGGGATCAGCTCTAAAGCCACCACAGTTGTACCACAATAGTGACTGAATGACACCATCCAAGTGCCCAAGCACTTTGTCCAAGGTGCCAAAAGGATCATAGGATACTTACAGTGCAGATCTAAGTTGTCTTGAAATGGTTCCAGTGATCTCACATCTGTGGTTGCACTTAGTCAAGGAGCGCCCACAGAGTTTATTGTAATGGGACTCATAACAACTTTGTCCCAGGATGGAGGCTTGGGACTGAGACAGTAAAAAAGAAGAAAAGGGACTGGAAATAGATACATCTTCTTTTGGGGATGAAGAGGCACTGAAGAGAGTTCCTGTTTATAATGGCATTCATCAAGCATCAGCACTTTTTGGTTAGTTCCAAGGGACAAAAGTATTTCAGGAATAACCTCTGCATGGTTAAGAACTGGCTAAAACTCCTGACACGAGAATGTAGAAGGAGCAAAACCCAGTAGCATCTGACTGCCTCCCCAGTACCAAGCAAGACTGTGAAGAGTCTTTATAGCACAAAGCTCAGGAAACATTTTATTGGTACCATTTCACCTTTCCCTCCTCACCCCTTTCCTCACCAGTTTGAAGGTTCACTTCTCTTTCTTCTGCTATTGTTAGACTGAACTTTGGAACACGAAATACCTGGAATTAGATGTGAGCTCTCAGGGGCTGTGGAGATGCCTTCATTGATACGATGCAAGGCCTGCACTTGAGTGGACTGAGGACTCTTTGCCAATGAAAGTGATGACAAGAGGGGCTGGTGATGCAAAATGGGCCCAGATGGTGCCAACTGAGTCACAGATTTTGACTTAGTCACTAACTGGCATAATAATCTCTCTCAGGGGATGATGCTGAGGGCAATACCAAAGCCAAACACAGGGTTTGAATCCTCATCCTTTTGGTCAACGAAGGCTTTGCTGCCAAAGTCACTGTCCCAGATCTGTATTTGTTAGCCTAAATACTTCAGCCTTACAAATCTCATGGCTAAGTCCACTGCCCTCAGTGCTCTATTTTGCCATACTAAGTGCAAACACTCATCAGAGTGGTAGGTACGAGGTCAGTCTAAGTATATTAGCCACCAAACAAACTCCAGAGAGATGGAATGTCTTCATAGCCAATGATCAACACCGCATTACAATGTCTGTGCAAAGACAAATAAATGAAATCTAACTGGTACAAAAAGGTATTTGGAGGATCTATGGATTTTCTCAGGCTCTACACTTTGGAAGAGGACCTTCAGGCCTCCCACATTGACCACAGTCAAGAAGAGGTGCTTCTCAAGCCAAAAAGAACATGGACAAGATCTACAAGCTCAAAGCCATGAAATGCAAATCCTCCAGACAAGTTCAGCGAGGTGGCTGTCTCCAAAATGAACATGCAACTGCATATGAAAAGCAACTACGCCGTGTTAATGTAACTTCAGATTTGGGAACTAAATTTCTTGCTTGGGCTTGTGCAAGTACAATCTGTGCAGCAAAAAAAAAAAAAAAAAAAAAAAAAAAAAGACTTCATTTGAAATAGAAACATCTCTGAACATCAGAATAGCATTAAGGCACAGTCTTAAATCTGCCAACTAAAATTTACAAGACTTGTTTCATTTTGTATGGGTATTATGCTGGTCACAGAACAAGTGATAAAAGGGGACTATCATATTAAAAATAATGTATTTTGCTAAAAATTGTCATAGCTGTTAGAACTAACACCTCGACTTCTCAGAACTCCAGCGTTAAAACAATCCAATTTGCATTATGCCTTTGATGATATTTGCTTAGTTGTGTTCCTCTCCAGTTGAACAGTATTAAGAGATTGGTATTTTTCCTTCCGATATTTTCAATCATTAGCATTTCAAGTATTTCCTCATGTGAGCTTTGTTCACTGTGAATTCATGCTGAGCTATAAGGAGTTTTTCAAAAACAACCTCATTGGAGTAAAAAAAAAAAAAGGAAAGGAAACATTTCTTAGCAGCTTAATTATGTGTATTTAAAGCTCCAGTAGAGCTGATAATGTTGTGTAAAACCTTCTCTCTATGAAGGAAATTGCAAATATAGCCTGAATTGCTGTAATGGAAGGGACTCCAGAACAGCTCACACTTCCCCTCTTAACCTGAGCTTTAGTGTTGACAACACAGGGTGTTCTGACCATTTAGAGGTTTTCCCCCATGACTCCATGAATTGCCCTACAGAAACTGTAACACAGAATAAAGACAACAGAATCTCAGCTTTAACCTTCGTCTTCTGTGTGTTTATAAGTCATTCACAGAAAACACTTTTTTCCTTAAACATACTCTTATCTGAAGATGACCAAAAGCAAGTTGGAGTAATTGTAGGTACGCAGTACTCAACTGACCTAAGTTACTCAAGGATGTTCCTCTTCAAACTACGACACAGTTTTAGCTAAGGATCTCAGGATTTTATAAGCTCACATCCACCCACAGAAAGTTGCCCTGCCATTTGCAATGAAGTGGCACTAACCCAATTTTCATCTAGATAACAAGAGGCACAGAAGAGCTCAGTGTGTGCAACAGCACTGCCAGGAACCTGGTACCCACCTCCCTCCTCACAGCCCGCAGACTCAGCTGCCCCTCCACAACCGTGCTTACAGAAAGCAGTAATCAGAGCATTAAGAATACAGAATAACCTACCTACCTTCAAAGAAGTCCTACAGAATTAAAGTCTACCTGAGAGTATTTATGTTCTGTTCCACATCTGAGAGGCTCTTCCCTCTCCAAATACACATAAGCTTTCTATGACATCCAATCCCCACTGCTAAGAGTCTAAAGTTAAAATAAACTGTGCAATGCTACAATACACTGCTCATAACCAACAACTAATGGGTCGACCAAAGTTGGCTGCTTCAGTCTTCAGCACTGAACTTTCTTTAGCCCAGATGAAGAATGCCAGCTCAGCAGTTAAGATGCTGGTGAGACCATTACTGAAATTGCATTTGGATAACTGTAATGTGAGCCAAACACTAAGAAGAAAACAAATTAATTACAAACTCCAAAGCCTGTAATGGCAAAAAAACAAGGGTCGAAAACCCAGCAGGCTGATCAATACCTAGACAGTCATTAATATGATCAGAAAAAGCTTGTTTAAGAAATTGCCTACCTGTAAGGAGAATAAGGGTCAAAGCACGTCTTGGTGACTTCTGTTATCTCTGGGTTACAGCATTCCCCACCATCGAAGTTGTATCTCTCATAATTACAATCCATGTCACACACCCCATTCTGCTTTTTCTTGTTGAAAAGCGTGTGGCGCACATGCCGGCAGTCCCCCCCATCGTACCCAGTCAAGGTGTGGTTGCACTCCGGATCACAGTTCTCGTCCCCAATCTTGCTGATATCACAGTTGGCCAGGATGAGTCGGTGGCGAAGGGAAGAGTTCTTCACCTCCAGCACCTCCAGCTCCCAGGTGATGTTGTAGCGGCTGAAAGCCTCATTTAAATGCTGATGTTGGAACTCGATCTGCTGCTGGCTGACAGTGGGATTCTGGTGTTTGTCATCGTAGAGGTTTACCACACGGTAGCGCACAATTTTGTTGCGGCGGAAGCTGGGGAGCTTGTTGTAGCTGGCAATTACGTCTGTGTTGTCACAGACAGTCTGTCCACAGAGAGGAGGGTCTAGGCTGGTATCCAGCAAATAGCCATGGTGATAGCTGAACTTGCTCTGGGGGCTGCTGCCATCCTTCATGGGGGACCAGGTGTTTTTCACATTCAGTAAACTGTCTTGAAGAACTAGCTGAGGTAGAGGCGTGTCTTGTCTGTGAATTGCCTGGCCCATGTCCAACAAGATCTCCTTCTGAGACCGGGCTGTCCTCCAGAGACTGAAGTGCTCTACGTATCCCCGATAGTTCTGGTTCAGCGCATTTCCTCCAACCATGAGCACCTTGCACTTCAAGGTCAGAAGACTGAAGATGCTGCCCACTTGCTCTCCACTTGTGGCCACCTGGGCACCATTGACATAGAGTTTCATCAGGTGCCCATCATATGTGGCAGCCAGATGCACCCACTGGTTGGGGAGGTAGCTGCGATGTGCTGCAATGGTGGTTACTTTGCGAGCACGGTCCGTCTTCAGAGAGAAGAAATAGCGGGGGTCTCTATTCCCCTGGTCACTGACGGTGTTAATCCCCAGGACCCATCCTCGGTCACGGGAGGTGTAAGAACATTTGTCATATAGTCCTATGTGCCCCCAAAAAAGAAATATGAATAAATAAGGATGACAGGATAAAGAAATTAGTCTTTAAATTGTATAAATACCTATGTAGATACACACATTCACCTACGTATGTTAAAATGTTCATGTACAAGAAAGACATAAAATCATCTAGTGCATGACTGTGGTAGACTTGCTGTTACTTGTTGCACTTATAAATGGGATTTCCCTTTCCTGACCAAAGGCCAAACCTCTTTTGCAAATTCCTAACAGCAAAATGATGTACTGTACATTTGGTTGTTGCCTTCACTCAGGCCATACATCACTGGTTGAAAATAACAGTCTTGAGAAGTACCATTGATCTCACTCACACCTCATACCACTGAACCCTGTATCTAATGAGGTCCAGAGGAGAAACAACTGCAAAGTCTAAGTACTACAGTCTGAGAAGCACTGAGCAGTTACAAGAATCATGATGGGTTCAAACATCCAAATCCTATAGAAAGTGAATGGGATGTGTTGAGGATACTTTCAAATTCATACCAAACAAAAACCAACGAGGAAGTGGCACACACTGGTATGCTGATGGGCTGAGCATGGTGTATATCACACCGGGAAAGGGCAAAGAACATGCACGGATGGATATACATGTTCAGAAATATTCCTGCCCTCTCTCACACACACGCTTACTAACAACTTGGAGCACCACAGGGGATATACACTAATGATTTATCTTGTGGACAAAGTGTGTGTGCATCCACACCTAAAGGTTTCTCAACCAGCTTTCAGACAGCTCCAAACAGTGGAAAGAGCCCAATGCTCACTCTGGGACATGAAGTTTGGCAAGTTAAAGACATATATTTCCATCTTTCAGTTCTCAAAGACCAAGGGCTGCACAGATAGCCCTCAACCCAAAAAATCATTGTTACAGCCTTCGGCACCAAATGGCCGCTCGCCTATCAGCACATGGGAAACAACCCTTACCCCAGGCCTCCACTTCCAAAAGCCTAACTGAAAATCATAAATCTCTGACCGTTCAGTCCTCGTGAAAAGACTAAATATCCCCTTATCTCACCCCTGCACCCTAACCTTCCCAGCACTACAACCAAATAACATCTTCTGCTTCTAAGTTGCTCAACAGCCATCTGTTAACAATCACTCATTAACAGTGCAGTCTTGTCTAGTATCAACAGAGCAAAGGTTACAGGAGAATTCACTGTATTTTTCCTCCCCTCTCCCAGCACCTACCTTCCCCCCTTTCTCCTCACACCCTTCCTCTCTCTTCCTCCTCCTCCCCCCCGTAAAAGTCTTCTGATGGGAAAGTTAGAGCATTTAAACAGGCCTTTTTTTTCTGTATGCTGGTATTTTGCTAGGGACTCTGAGCTCCCCCTTTTCCTGTTGCCTTTGGAAGAGAGATCCCAGGGTTCGGAAGGTAATGTGTTTATTCATCTGTAGGGCGCACTCAGTTCAAAACCTTTGCAAGACCAGCCTCTAGTTTATGTTGCTACTTCTGATCATGAGAAAGGAGAGGAAGAGAACCAGGGAAGGAAAAAACAAATACGCTTAAAAAAAAGAATGACATCTGCTGGGATGGATATTTACCTGAGAAATTCGTGGTAGGAAAGCCAATGCTACCAATGACCTTCTTGAGGCTGTTTTTTAAGTGTTGCTTTAATTTTTCTTTATGGAATGAATACTTTCACAAAGCGTTAATTTTCAGATGTATGAGAGCCCATAAAAGTCTGCATTTTTATGAATCTCAAATGAAGGAATTGTCCAATGCTAGTGGGTGGATAATGCTGCAATGAATGAGGAAGCAGCTGGCAAGACAAGTCCCTCTTCCAAAGAAGCAATAAAATAAGTTCTAAAAAATCTCAACTTATTGTAATAAGACCATTAGAGCTGGTCAGACATTTTGTAAGAGGGTTTTTGCCTGCCCAGAAATGTTAACATGGAGAGAGCAGAAAAAGTGATGCACAAATGGGCTAGTCCCAGTAAATCTATATGAGAAGGTGTGAGCCTTCACCATGCCAAGGGACTCCCTTGGCTGTTCTGACTGCAAGCAGAGAAGGTCAACCTGTCCCAGTCATGCTCCCCATCATCTCCTGCCACCTTCTCCCCACAGTGACCAAAGTCTCTAAGCCTCAGGACCAAAGGGCAGCTGCACATGCAATAGCAGCTCTACCTGTAAGACATCCAAGATCCCTGCTGTTGGATGGATGGCTGGAAGCTCTGGAACATGCTTCTGGGGTTTCCAGCTCTAAGGAAGTCTACCATACAGTCTTTAAGGGTCAAGTTTTTTGGTATTTGTACTGAATCGGGCTAGAAATATTCCCTCAAAAGAACTAATAAATAATTGTGGCATGGAAATTCAGTTTTCTAGCCGGCATTAAAGAACATCTTCCTCTCTCTCTGAAGTGCTGCATGATGCTAGCGATTGACCTCAGCTGAACAGATGGAGCTGCTGGAGGAATACTACAGAATAGTAGCAATCCTCCCTTGCCTTTGAGTATTTAAACCCTGATGTGATGCAACGTGTCTTGAGTTTGGCTCAAACAGCTGCCATCAATTCAAGATTTACAGGGAGCCAAAGGAGGGCAGAGAAAGAAAAATCCCAGCGACAATAGGGACACCACTGAACATGTCAGGACGAAAGCTGCTCAACTAAAACAGTCTACTATTCCAGTTCCTTATATTTTCTAGTTTAGGTCAAAGGTCATTGCTGAATCCATATGCTACGTACGGTATTCTTTTCTCAAACTTTTACTATTACAGACATCCAACTCTTGATGAAAAGACGGATTGAACGCAATCCCTTCAGCAGCAAGAGTTGCTTTATTCTTAAGAGAAAGGTAAAAAAGTAAGAAACCCACACTCCCTATAACTTGCAAGTTGTACCAGTTCTTTATGACCTTCTTTTGCTCGTATGCTGTACCCACTTTCCCAATCCTTCACTTACTTTTGGCTTTAGACTAAGAATCCTCCGGCTAAGGGAGTGTCACTTTTCCGTTTTGTCCCTAGCACAATGAAACTAATTTCAGCTGGGACTTTGGATGTCATAATACAAGAATTTATTACTTCTTCTATGACAACTAATAAGGGCAAAGCCATTGGAAGAGGGACATGTGAAATAATTGCCAGAACTTCTGAAAACTGAATAATTTGATGTTTTCACAATTTATTTCAATTTAGTAAAAGGTTCCATAGCCATGAGTTATTTCTCAGACATAATTAAGAACATTTTAAACAAGAAGAGGCCTCTTTTACCCCAAACAAGGCTGGTTTTGAGCAAAACCACCCCTCACAATGGTTGACACTCCAAATTTCAAAATTCAGCTGTGACCACAATCAACATTTACATGAAAAACATACAGAGTTTAGAGTCTCATTTACACTGAGAATTCTTTACAATAATGCTAGTAAGGGACATTTTTAGCTACTTAATATCCCTTTACAAACCAAGAGTGGTGTAAAGAGGCCTCATGGTAAATGAGACTCAAGCCAATGACTGCAAAACCACAATCTGGCGAATATGCCTCAAGTTTCCGAGCCAAGAAATGGTGCGAAATAAAACTGATGTTTGTTTTCCCCACAGCAATTAGATTAAAAAAATATGTACAAGTCTCATACAGCAGCAAACAGTTTTCTTCACTTCTGCTTGCTCAGAGTTGCTAGAAAGGGATGGAGCTACAGCTGAGAAGAACACTGACAGCACTTTGAAGTCCATAGTCTGAGTGATTTTTTCCCTGTAAAGCTCCTGTTCCTAAAGCCCAAGGGATTAAAACTGAGTTTTATCTTTTATTACAAGAAAAAGAAGAGGTGCTAGTCCAGCTTTCCAGTAAGAGGCATTGGTAACCTTCCTTCCTCACAAAGCAGTGAGTCACTTTTCAGACAACTGTTGAGAAGTGCATGAACAGAGTTAAGACACTGCATTCCTGTATGCTTGGCCACAGACAGACTTCAGTGGCCCATGAAACTCCTTCCAGTTCCATGCCATTTGTCCCTTATAGGAAAAGCAAATTCCTAGGAATCTAGAGTGGGGAAATCTGGAAAATTAAGGTTCAAAGGCCCAAAGCCAAACACGAAAAACCAAAAATACAATCTCTCCCTTTTTTTTGGCCAGTGAAAACTCAGTTCTCTGGCTACTGACCCATGGCAGCTCCAGCACCCAACTGTCCATCTGACCCCTTCCAGCAAGCCTTAACCAAGGCCAGTGTACGATTTATAACCCATTTTGTTTCCAGGACTTTGCTGGGGTCTTAAATAGAGCCACATCCTTGCATAGGCCCTGTGTGCTGGGCAGGATTTCGCAGCACAAGCACAGCAGGTAGCATCAGCTGCTGAACTTCTGGACCAAAGTCCTGGGTGAGGACACAAGGCAATTGCTGTAACCAAGCCTGTGATGCAGAGATTGGACCAGATGTTTATCAGCAGTAGCCACAGAGAAAC